CAATAAAATTTGGGATACTGTCATAAATATGCTAAAATGAAAACCATTAAGAAACCAAAGAAAATAAATACATATTAAAAAACTTAATTAATGTAACGACGCAAATTGATAAGGGAAAGCAAAAGCAAGCGTAAAGGAGAAACAGATTCAACATGCCTTTGTGGCATAACGTTCCTATTTCATCTCGCGGGAACAGAAATAAGTTAATCTTTTTGTTTGCGAGCGTCAATTACTTTTCTCCGGAATAAATTCTCCCCTTTTCGGAGTTCAATTTTGAAGGTAGTAAAACGCACTTTTAATGTTAGCAAACCATTTGACATATTTAATGTTTCTCATAAATCATAAATCTGTTCAACATAACCACACGCCCTGAACATTTAGTATCGAAGGTATGTTTCTTTTACACACATCCAATCATGAACAAGCAGATGCATATTTATTTAATTAGAGATATGATTTATCTTTGGGGCAAGGGAATTTCAAAATATATGATCCAAGTAATTTCTCTTTAAGATTAAGCTCTAATTCTCTTACGGCGTTGAAGTAGAAAATATATAGACATGAATAGATTTAAGGCTTGCCTCTGTAAAGACCGTAAAATCACGCCAAGTATTGTCTGCTCCTAGAATAGTGATTTCCAAAATATTTAATACGGTATGTGTATTCTATAATGCAACTGCGATATTACAGTTGACAAATATCCAATTAATATAATACAATAACGTGATCTCTTCGCACACAAAAAGCTTTAGCTGTATTATATCTATTTGTTTCTCGCCTTAATAGCGACACGTTATTAACTTCAGATTTCATCTTAAACGTAGTTAATTAATTATTTACTATACGTATGTATATATGTCTGTTTGCGAACTTGTCGACGGCTGGTGAAGAGAAGAACAACCAAGTTCCCAAAGATAGCCGCAGTTATTAAACTTTATATTTCGTTTTCCTTACTTTGCACATTTCTTTCCTTTCCAAAAACGTAAAACAAACTTAGACAATTTGGAACTTTTGTGGGTTCATTACTAATTTGTGGTCTTGAGTACGTTTAACAATATAAGTGTATTTTATGTCTTAAAACAGATTATATCTATTCTACCCCTCTCAGAGTACCTACATAAATTAATACGTACAAACTAACACCTGTAATCAAACAAAACTCGGAACGCGGATATAGGCCACCTTTATAACGACAGCACAACGTATTCCTAAGTCAAATTAGCCTTCAAATAAAATCTCATTAAGTTGAAATCTGATTGAGATATTGTTACGGTCGAAACATGACATTGTTTACTGTTAATATTCTTTGGGAGAAGTTTCTTCACGAGGTAATTTAATAAAATTGTGTTGCTAGGTAGTTGTTAGCTGTTTTATTAGGTAAGTGAGTAGGTATGTTGTTTGCGTAATTTACATTACTTGTAATAATAATAATAATATCGTTTATTTCAAAACATATTATTAAGTACATTTAGGTCTGATAGTACTTGGTAAAGTATCAAACATGTACCTGTAAGGGCGCAGTAATGTCAATTTTTAACATAATTACCTTAGAATAATAACGCATAGAAACCTAGCCCGCACACGCTAAGTGAGGCAAGTTAGAGGGTTCCAAACGCGTCTCAGGAGCGCGCGGGCTGTTAGTGCTCAAGGTCATATTGCACCGCGAACAGCTCCAAAATTTTTTGCTAAAAATGACGAAATGTGCGGTAAATGGGTGTAAAAATACAACAGACAAACATAAAATAGACACTAACATCGCATTCCACAAGTAAGTAATGCGTTTCAACTCATATTTTTATGTAAATATTCACTAAAACAGAAAAATAATTTCGCGGCAACAAGATACGAAAGTGTTGCAAAGTAACGAATTTTTTTTCTCCCCATTTTGCTATTCTGTTTCAAAATAATTATATTACGTAAATTTTAGTGGTGCCTGTAATTTCGATTTATTTGCGCATCTTGAACAATAATATTTACTTGAATAAACATTAAATGTTTTCGTTAACTTGTGATGAAAGTGATTGGGACACTTAATTATTTTATAATACTTTTAACGGCTCTGCGTTCATGCTTTATTGAATAATTATTTCTTTTAATTTTATTTGAATAGGAGCACATATTGCAACAAATTTACAGTATATATTTGTTTCTACTATAGTGTTGGCACCACCAGTACAACTTTGATAGCTTATTATATGTCTTTATTTTCGTAACTCAAGCGAAATATTTTATATTGAAATATTTTATTTTCTTAAAAGGGGAGCATTCTTAAGCGATTTTTTAATCTATTTTAACAGTTATTTTCTTTAATGTTTGCTTATGGCATTTTCGGCTTTAGGTTTCGAATATGGCACTTATTTCTAAATCCAAGATGGCGGGCGCGATTTTTCGAATAATGGCAAGTTGGGTATCGTTTTCGAGATGTTTGGGAATGTTCAATACAAATATGGCACTCATTTCTAAATCCAAGATGGCAAACACGACAGTTCAAACAAAAGCAATATTCGTAATGAGCACCCCCAAATACCTCGAAAACGATACCCAACTTGCCATTATTTGAAAAATCGTGCCCGCCATCTTGGATTTACAAATAGTGCCATATTCACATTGAGCATCCCCAAATACCTCGAAAATGATACCCACATAGCATTTTTTTGAAAAAATCGTGCCCGCCATCTTGGATTTAGAAATGAGTGCCATATTCGTAATGAGCACCCCCAAGTACCTCGAAAATGATACCCATGTTGCATTTATTTGAAAACTCGTGTCCGCCATCTTGGATTTAGAAATGAGTGCCATATTCGTAATGAGCATCCCCAAATACCTCGAAAATGATACCCATATTGCATTTTTTTGAAAAATCGTGTCCGCCATCTTGGGTTTACAAATAAGTGCTATATTCGTTTTTCATCGACAAAACCGAGCATATCTGTAGGCACCTGATCGACATTGTCGATCGACAAAATCGAGCACATCTGTAGGCACCTGATCGACAATGTCGGGCAAATCTGTAGGCACCTTTAACTTAATGATGAGTTAAGCAAGATACAATTTCCCCACTTTTGAGGGAAATGTTATTCCATGGCATCATTATTTGTATATTTGTGTGCGTGCCGACGAGCGTAGTTACAAGTTGCTTACGCCTACATGAATTTGGTTTTTGCCTCACTTGTGACAGTTCGTTTGATATGAAACTATCATTCTATGCGTTATTATTCTAAGATAATTACATTATTAATTATAATATTAATACAATGAAAATAAATAAATCTAAGCAAATATATTCAGAAAGTCAAATGATTTCATTTTGATATGATTGTCAAATGTATTTTAGTATTGTAAAAATAAATCAATGTACTTATTTATAATTAATCAAATAAAAATTAATTATTTATTTATTAATCGGCAAATTATTCTAGTACAATACTATTAATAAATAATAATAATAACATTTGTCAATTAAATCTTCGTAATAATTGCGTTTATTTACTCCGTGATATTATTATTATGCATTTAGTTTATTAAATTACATAATTATAATATCATATTTTTATGCATGTACATATATAACATGTATGTAACACGAAGCATCTTATTCTTTGGTATTACCGTATAAATTAGTATTTCTATTTTAAACAACATTTATCTAGAAAATTCGTGGGCGCGCTGGAAATAATAATAGCAAAAAAGAAAGAATAGCAAAAAAAATTAAATCACGAAGTCCATCTTTCTGTGTCACTGCTTTCAGTAGCAGTTTTTATTTATTTCAGTATTCGAGTATAGTAATATAATATTAAATAATATTTCAAAATAATATATTCAAATAATACAAATTTAATGACTTGATTTTGAAATAATAAAAAAAATTCAAATATATTTTTTGGTTTTCCTATACAAACCGATAACCGAGCACATTTTACATGGAAAATTTTTACATATATTTTTTCCGTGGATTCAAATAATTTGTTATCACGAGTTCGTACTCGGTCACGGTTCACTGGCTGAAGAAATAAGATCGGGCCCTTTTGTTACATCCTATTTAATATATCAGACCTACAGCAATATTATGCTTACTTATATAATTTTATTGCTGCAATAATAATCAAACCATCATTAGAAATTTGGTAATAGAATGTGGAAGAAACAACAATATCTATAGTAGATTCAAGTCTTTGAGATGAAAAATCAATGAAAAATTTGTACGCAATTAAATGCTTAAATTCACGAAAAATAAGTTAATATCATAGTGTTGAAACATCCTGACATTCAATAAACTTATTACATATTTTATTTACCTCGACGTTAAGGACGTGTGACGCAACGTCCATGATCTCGAAGGGACTGGACGACTGAGGTAAATAAAATATGTTTTTATACACAATTATTAAGTACCGAATTTAAAATCAAATAGTTTCACTCAGAGCTGTAAATCACTAAGACCAGAGGGACACTGCCAGTGCCTGTCACCCTACCTGCAACATAAGTTGACAAATCTAATATAACTGTAATTTCACCAGCACCCTTACTATTCAAAACTGAAACACAATAATGTTCACATTACTGCCTGGCTGCAAAAATAGGTAAGATGGAGTTGAAGGTAAAAAGATATGTACTACAAGAGTA